CCCACAGACCCACATGCCCACGGCCCACTTGCGCACGGATTGAAATCTTCATCGATCCAGATGCCCACAGACCCACATGCCCAGGGACCATTTGCGCACGGGTTGAAATATACCTTGACCCAGATGCCCACGGCCCACTTGCGCACAGATTGAAATCGGGTGATGCCCAGTTGCGCACAAACCCAAATGAACACAAAAGCGAATTTCTACCTCCTAAACGATATTCCATCAGTAATTTAAGGATATTGTAAGTTATCATTGTCTGACGTAAACTTTTAAGACATTTAATGCTCTCTTCAGACGATATACTTATCCACTAACTTACTCAGTCTCCGAGATTTAAACATTCCACCCTATCCTAATTTAACCTAACCTAATTTACTTTAATGGTCCATGCTATATTGATATACGACTATCAAGAAACTCGGTAGAGTCTCGCGCCAAGTACAGGCAACCGGCTGTACAGGGCACAGCTCGCAGAGACTCTTTACTTGAGTCAACTCTTATACCAGTGTTTGGAACGAAATATCTTATTAACTACTATACATGAGAAAAAGTTATTGATACATTCACTATAGGAATTGAGGGTTCTGAATTGATTGCCACCACGTTCAATACGATTTGTGTACGAGATCAGGGCGTATTGAGATGGCGAGCGAGATGATTTTATTTCAGATACGTCGTCGTCGTCGTCGTCGTCGTCTTCGCAAGTCCATCGCATTTTTTACACGACAGATGGCGCTGACTGCTTTGCCTTCTTTATCTATTTGTACTCTGCACGGTGTTAGTAATTTACGAATACACAACACAATCAAATACACTTTATACGTGAAGCTACCGTTCATACCGAATTTCCAGTTAGTATAAGGGTGCTTTCACAACAGTATAGAATAATTAAGTTTTTAATAGCATTCATGTGGAGCGCGCATGTATGGATGTATGTATATGTGTGCTTCGGCATAGTCCCTTGTATTTTAGGTGACAGTTTTTAGAGATACGGGATGTCCAGGTGTTCATCTCCGTAGTTTCCTGTATCTAGGTGGCGGACGTGGAAGTCCAGGGAGTCCAGATGTTCCGCTCCGTAGTTTCTTGTACCTAGGTACTGGATGTGGAAGTCCAGGGTGTCCAGGTATTCCGCTCCGTAGTTTCCTGTGTCCAGGTGTTGGATGGGGAAGTCCAGGGTTTCCAGGTATTCCGCTTCGTAGTTTCTTGCATCTAGGTGTCAGACGTGGAAGTCCAGGGTGTCCAGGTGTTTCGCTCCGTAGTTTCTTATATCTAGGTACTAGATGTGGAAATCCAGGGTGTCCAGGTGTTCCGCTCCGTAGTTTCCTGCATCTAGGTGTCAGACGTGGAAGTCCAGGGTGTCCAGGTGTTTCGCTCCGTAGTTTCTTATATCTAGGTACTAGATGTGGAAATCCAGGGTGTCCAGGTGTTCCGCTCCGTAGTTTCCTGCATCTAGGTGTCAGACGTGGAAGTCCAGGGTGTCCAGGTGTTTCGCTCCGTAGTTTCTTATATCTAGGTACTAGATGTGGAAATCCAGGGTGTCCAGGTGTTCCGCTCCGTAGTTGCCTGCATCTAGGTGTCAGACGTGGAAGTTCAGGGTGTTGAGGTGTTCCGCCCCGTAGTTTCTTGTATCTAGGTACTGGATATGGAAGTCCAGGGTGTCCAGATGTTCCGCTCCGTAGTTTCCTGTATCTAGGTGTCGGACGTAGAAATCTAGAGTGTCCAGAAAAGTGTGCAACGAGCGACGCTTCGCTCAAACAATGGTATCCTCTCTGTTGTTCGCACGGCCTGAGGTACGTAAATAATCCAGCACACTTTCCTCTCTTACGTTTACCACACGGCTTCAACAAGCTGGACACCATTAACGACGCTTATATGCACTGAAGATTACATTTTCTTTAAAAATTTGTATATATCTTTATGCATTTCTAAAAAAAAGGGACTTACAAATTATATTTTTATATATTTTTCTGATTAGCGACATCATAATGCATTTACATTTTATATCTGTGAAAATATAGATTTCAGTGCTTAGTGCTTCTATGTCCCGTTGAACAACAAAAACTTGTGATATCCCCCAAAAAACACTTACGTGTAAAAAACTACGCCAAGTACAGGAGTGCTGTGTATTCCTCTAATAAAAAGTATTGATATCAGATTATGGAGGCCAAGTACATAAGTCACTACATGTTTGCCTATTATATGATCTAGCACTGGCCCATCATTTTAATTGTATTTTCAAAATTTCTCATAACGTTTTCACTACTCTTTTGCATTACTACTGCTTCTCGTAGTTGATTATGATTTAATGGTCATTTAATAATTAATAAAACTTTAGGTGATTCCTTATCGAGTACTACTTGGCGGGTCCGTGCCAGTGATTCCAAAGTATTTACTTTGAACGTACTAATAGTATCCTAAAACTATATGTTTGTTATTAAGCTTTAACCGTGATTATTATTAACGAGTTATCGTTAAGTATCTCTATATAGAAAAATGACATTAGTTTTGAGTTTAATGACTGGCATAATGAACGCAAATTTATATCAAGAAATGCACGGACCCGCCAAGTAGTAGTCAATAAGGAATCAGCTAAAGTTTTAATAATTATTAAATAACCATGAAATCATAATTAACTACGACAAACAGTAGTAATGTAAAAGAGTAGTGAAAACGTTATAGGAAATTTTGAAAATACAATTAAAATGATAGGCCAGTGCTAGATCATATAATAGGCAAACATGTAGTGACTTATGTACTTGGCCTCAATAATCTGATATCAATACTTTTTATGAGAGGAATACACAGCACTACTGTACTTGGCGTAGTTTTTTACACGTAAGTGTTTTTTGGGGGATTAGCATTACATTATTCTCTCTTCCTTCCGTAATACATTGTTTTTTGAATTATGTAATTATCATTTTTAGTTTGATTTTTATGACCTTTTTCCCAACCCGTTGTAAATTCGTCAAATTCGTCCGGGTTTTCTCGGATAGGCACCGGTTTTTCGCCCAGCACTGAAAGGGTTAGCATTTTTTTCATTCGATCGATTGTGCCATCCGTATCCTTGTCATTAGCCCCCAGTTCTTCACGACGAGCCATTTGGAAAACTGCTAACGATCTCGTAAACATAAAATTGCGTTCAGTTTCTACAATATTTGTATCAATGTCTGCGTACTTTGTAGTGTAAAGTTGGTATGGCATTTCATGACGCAAACGCGTCTTAAGCTTCACTCTATCTCTTCCACGCAATTGATAGCAGAGAGCTACAGAATGCTTAAGTTTATTTATACCTACTGCATAAACGCTAACCGATATACGTTTTCCAATTTTCGTCCTGATGAACTTCCATCTACAGAGATATTTCGGCTATCGACAATAAGCATAATCCCAGAACATTTTCGAATTCTTAGGATTTTGACTGTGTCTAAATCCGCTGAACGTCAAGCAGTATGTAATGTTCAAAAAGGAAAATGGTAACTTTTTGCGCAAGTAACGATGAAATTTATGGGGTATTATTTTGCCACGTTCACTGATGTGAGATGGTTTAATTTCCAAAGTTCCTACAAGAAACGTGAACTTTTTTTTCAGCGGCAATGGCAATCTCTATTGAAATTCGAAGTCAGAACCGAGATTTGAATGACTAATTTCAGTGTCAAAAATTATTCTCCGGAGTGAGTTTCAAGCTGCCACTTAAGCTTTTGCATAAAACTCTCTCAGTTACTAAATCGGCGATTTTTTTGTTCATTTTTGATCCACAAAAAACTCAAGCTTGTGCAGAGTTCTGTGATTTTTTTTACTCCCATCTTAGCACATATTGGTAGAAATGGAAAGGATTTCAGAGAACCATGATGCAGATCTTCAATCGATTTTACTGAATCTGCAACAGCATCTACCATTAATGGTATTAAATCTACCATTTTCTCGAATATAAAAGGCATGGTGATTGCGCGAGTGTGTATGCGTAAATGCGGGCAAATTTGAGAAAGCTGAGAGAGAGATAAGTCGCGAAAAATGTATCTGTCGAAAGAACACGAAGTAATTTAATATGTGAGACTCGGTGTGTTAGTGCCTGTCTTCGAAAGTGTCTTTTAGAGTATATGCCTGTGAGG